AAGAGTGTCCCTAGAAACTTTGAATTGGAACGACCTTTCTGAAGATACAAACAAAAATATGTGAGCACACGTGTAAATGTGCACATACTGCAGAATGTACATCAGTGGAGTAGCTAAGTTGCAGGAGAGGAAGCAGCGTCTGCACACACCAGTGTCGTGGCATCAGGCTGTCCCAAGAGAAGCAGAGCTGTTGAACGGCACTTGCAGCTAATGGTGCAAAGTACAGGTCTGCAAAAAAGCTGCATGTTGTGGGGTAGATTCTGAAGAGTGTTGCTGTGTGCAGTCCAACATGAGTAGCTTGTCTTTAAAGCACTGCTCATGTCTGCAAATGGCTGTTTTATTTGTATATAGATGGGTTAGAGTGTTTCTTTATCAGCACTATTGGCCTGTGTGCTGGCCTTTTTGCCTGTGCCACACTTCAGGTGTGACAGGTGGGTGTAAAACTTACTTAGTGCTCCCGTCCTTCTTCCTGGTCGTATTTTCAAACAGACTCAGCTCACAAGGTAATGAGATAAGTGAATGTAGAGGCACAAAAAAGAGGTGGAAGGAAGGTGAGAGTGGAAGTGGTACTGGTGCAGAAAAATAGTGGTGTGGAACTTTAAATCCAGTGAGACTTGCACCTTTCCCCCTGCCACCTTTCTCATTCACATGTTTTTTGCATATCCCACTACAGTGGAGCTCGGTAGAGAAAGGTTATACAGAAAGTTCTGGGAAATATTTTTCCCCTAATATTTAGCAATGGAGGTTCTGGAGGAGGTGTGCAAGTTCTTTTACTGGGGTTGAGAGAGAGTTATGAAAGAAGCATTTATTTTCACTGTGTGCTTTGAAAAGTAAATGTCCTTCTTGTCTTCCTAGCCAGGGAAGGAAAAAGGAAGTGTCACTCAAAGAGGAGGAGTTGTGCGGGCAGAACTAAACATAGTGTGAAGCTAGAGCATAGTCTGGATAAATAAAAAATGAAGTGATTAGTGAAACTTTCAAATGCTCTCAGATTCAGAAGTCTGTATTCATCTTTTAGTAAACGTTTTTCATAAATATTTGTGTATTTACAAATGCTTAGGTAGTATTCATTGAAGACTGCTGGATCTGAGAATACAGCTTTTTAGAGTTCTTTCTCAGATCTTTTTTGCTTAGTCAAAAGTTGCTGGGCTTCAGTAGAGAATTAAGTGAAATCCTGAGGCCTGTTGGGTTCAGATCTGACTACACAATCCTTTTGGGCCTCTTGTTTTTAATACTGTTGTTCAGAAGAATTCCTGAGTGCTCAAAAATTTAATTACTTTAAATTTAATTAATTAATTCTGAGACATTTTGCATAAGCAAGAGAATATGTAGTTCTTTCTGAATAAAAAACTATTTCAAATGGAACAAAACAGTGACTGTATAACTGCTTTCCAAATACAACTCCACAGTTTTTATAAAAAAGGTCTCAGAATCAGATGAAAAAGAACAGAAGTGTTTAGTAGTACATTTGACCAAGTTTGTGAAAACTCTGCTATTGTATAAGTGATTCAGAATGTGTTTTCCTTTCAGACATCCTTCTTACCTATATTTGAGTGAATTCTTGAATTCGAGAATACAAGCTGCTGCATTTTAAAAGATGAGGACATTGTTAAGAAAAAGTATCAGAATGTCTTTAATGCTAAAATGAGTTTACTGGTTGGAAGAAAGCTGACTATATTGTGAACCTTCTATTTACTAAGCAAGAGCTTCTCTGATCATTTTGCATAATTGAACTTTTTTTTTTGTATCATTTGATACTCAGTATAACAGCAGTAAATTAAAAAAAATCAAGTTGATTATGATCTCATAATCTTCATTACATTAGAGCAAGCATGCAATGTATGAAATTAATTTCTGATCTGAGCCCATTCTGTGGGAATTAGATACTCACATGATGAGCATCTTTATTGGGCATGCCAGGGAGGTTCAAGAATAACAAGAGGAATCTATCTTCTATCTGTGTAGGTACTTAAAGTTAGAATTTAATTATGTATCTGAAAAGTAGAAAATGTTTGGCTGTGGGAGCACTACTCACACTGCGATGTAGCATAGATTAATACTGTCTGTAATTCCCAGCATCTCAAAGAGCTTGCTGGGAACAGGTGTATGCAGAGTTTCTTTAAACCTGCATCAAACAGAAGGTGTTCAGAGTTCAGCATGGATATGGAATGCTTTTGGTGCCTCTGCAAACTCAGCATTTCTGTAGAGGCTTGGGAGGAGTTTCTCTTGGGTGTGAGTTGTAGCATGACAGAAAGCAAAACTGAAAATTGATGTGTCATTGGGCCTGTAGAGCTTGAAACTGCTTAAGATGGGTGAGCATAAAATTCCTGTGAGAGAGAATGAACCATGCAGCTCTGCATGTGGAGATGATGGCATATATGTGAGACCTTATGGAACAATTGCATATTTCCAAGTGGCATGAGGAAGAAAGGCTGAAAGAGCTGGGTCTTATAAATACCTAAAGGACGGGTGTCAGGAGGATGGGACCAGACTTCTTGGTTGTGCCCAGCAACGGAACAACGGTCAATGGTCAGAAACTGGAACACAGGAAATTCAGGCTAAAGATAAGGAAGTATTTCTTTACTGTGAGGGTTACAGAGCACTGGAACAGGCTGCCCAAAGAGGTTGTGGAGTCTCCTTTTCTGCAGACATTCAAAACCCACCTGGATGTGTTTCTGTGTGACCCAGTCTAGCTGATCCTGCTTTGACAGGAGGATTGGACTGGACGATCTCCAGAGGTCCCTTCCAACCCCTGCCTTTCTGTGATTCTGTGATGATAGGGAAAGGATCATCTTTGCATCAGCATTTTGGCTGCATGTTACTGGAGCAATACTGCAGTTGTCAAGGACCAAGGAGGAAAGCAAAGACCTTACATTATAAAATGAGATCAGATCCTTTCTTATTCATTCTCAGTGCTGAACTGTTCCTCCTCAGCACACCCTGGGATTCCTTCAAGTCATTATGCTGCTTTTCTTATCCAAGAAAAATCTTGGATGCTGTGTGGGTGTGAGAGAAGCCAAAAATCAAATATGGTTCCCAAGTTGTAAGCTTCAGTGTTAAACAGGACATTTTAGTTTTTGAAAATGGGGTAATCCAGAAATAAAGTAACAGGAGGAGTGGAAGGCGATTGGTGACAAATCTTGTGCACTTCTTTACCTGCCACTTCCCAAGACTTCACTGGCAGAAAAGCAGAAAGGATGAGTAGAGAGCAACCTGGGACTGAAACAGAAGTTAAGGGAGGGAGTTCAGCAAGTTCAAAAGTGATGAAAGGTCCCACAGTTCAGGGAGGATAAGGATGGAGTACTGCTTAAAGCAGTCCATTGGAGGCTTTGTTCTATAGGGATGTATGATGAGAACAGTGTCCTTAATTTCTTCAGGTATCTCTTCTGTCCAGGTCATGATGGCATTTGGTTCAAAAAGCAGAAACCATTCTTCCATCCCCTTCTTGCAGTGATTGAGCTGCAGATACAGATGTACTCCTGAAGAAACACAAATTTTCCACACTCTAGCATCTGGGAACAGTCTTCATAAGACTAGAAGCAGAGTTTTGAATATAGTGACATTATTCTAGTGGTGACTTGTTGATACTGCAGCATATCATTAGTAGTGCTGGAATCTTTATAAGCGTAAATGTTTTCTCTAAACAGTTTAAATGTTTAGAAAATCTAGTACAGCAGTCTGACAGGAAACAGTAACTTGTTCTGCTGGAATCTTAGAGCCCACAATTTTGAGTTAGTCTAGAAAAGATTTGTTAGTGAAGGATCATATAATTAAACTAGGAAAAATTTAAAAAAAAGACAAAAAAAACTTAAGGAAACTTTTTTTTCTTGAAAATGTGTTAATGTAGTATTCAGATTTAGCTAGGTAATTTTTTTTCCTACTGTTTACAAGAGTAGAGTATTAACAGTGCATTGCATAATCCGTGGAGATGTGTGCACAAAGTTTCTTAATATCTTTATTTTTCCCATGTTCTCTGTTATCTTTTGTTGTTCAAATTCTGCTCATATCCGGAGTTGCAGGGGTCTATTTCTGAAATATTTCTGTCTGAAATACTGAAAGACTCAATATATGTGTGCAGGCCTTTTTAAAGTTAATGTATGCTAAAGTTCCTCGTTGAAGTATTAATACGCACTGCGAGACATCTAGAAAACTGTTTAAAAAAATAACAACAAAACTCCCAATCTGCATTAGTGAATGAGCTTTTCCTGAAAGGCTCTTCATCTCATCCACACATATGTATGGAGGAGGATAATTGGGATTACTGTGTATGTTGCTACATATTTGCTACAGTTATTTACTTAAAATTAAGTTGTCCCGTCTGTCAATACAGGTTTGTTCTGTTATCTTTTTCCTGTATTTTTTTCATATTGCATTATCACACCATTTGCATTCTTATTTTGGTTTTATGTTACTGGGGTAATAGGTGCTAAGAAATTATTTCACTGAAATTGTATTAAACATTTGAGTATTTTAAAGATTTCATTCCATTAATTTCCTATAGCTTTGTTCCGTTTCAGTAATATCTTTGCAGCAGACCATAAATTGACTACAAATCTACTACCAAGTACTCAGTTCCAAATTAGATACTATTGTTCCCCTCTCCTAATTATGCCTTTACTCATCTGAGGATAAAGGAAGTAGACGAGTTACTCTGAGGCAGATAAATAAAGCCCTTTGGAATTGCAAATGAAAAGGTGCTCTGTCATTGCAGGAAACATTGGGTTCTCTTTAGCTGCAGCAGTGTCTTCATTGGTGGCACAATGTGTATGTGTTTAAAACACAATGTGTGTTTAAAATTACAGAACTCGAATAAGCAGTTATCTATGAGATTTTTAAAACGCATTATGTAAGTTCATCTTCTCATATTTCATTCATTCTGTGTAAGTGGAGACTACCCAGTGTTGCTTTCAAAGGCATGTGTGCACTGTACTTTGTCATTAATTTGGTCTATTCTGTGTATCAGAATTTATTACTTGCAGGGTTTTTTTTGTTTTGAACTTTTCTGTAATTTTCTTAGTTGTTTTTAATAAATTGCTTCTTAAAATCTTATGTTCTTAAAAGATGAAGAGAAGCTACAGAAATGGTGCACATTCTTCAAGTATTGCACGTGCCTGCACATGTGTTATGTACCAGAAGAGTTCAGACTATGAAGTTTTGGTTGACTGCTTTTTCTGTGGACATATTACCTGTATCATCTCTCATGAAGTTCAGAGTGTGCAGCATTTGTTTAAGTTAAAATCATAATGGAATGAAAATTTATTTTAATTACCTTTTTGAATAATTAAATAATTGTATGATGGAGAGAAAATTCCCAATATTTTTCCATTATTATTTCACTTGCTAATTTTCCTGAGGTAATTTTGAGGTTTATTGAAATCTCACTCTTAGCACTTAAAAAATAATCGTACTTCTAGAAAATCTTCTAAATTTCATTTTAAAGTGAAAATGTAGTGTTGTTAAGGGGGAGAAAAAGCTTAGTATCTTTGTATTCTGATTTATTATACAGAAGGCTGTTTTTTAACAAAAAAGGGCTTTTTTTTCTTTTTTCCCTCCACTATTCTCAGTCTCTTTTGATCATTGATCTGGGTGACCCCACGCTCAGGGGTTTTTTCTTCATTTGACATGGACAGATTTTTGAAGTATAGCTCTCCTTTGGGAACCTCAGGCAGTTCCACTTGACTAACCTGTGATCTAATGAGCAGTAATGCAGGGTTACAGTGACCATTTTGTTTGCTTTGAGGGAGGATGGCTAGACAGAGAGTGGGAGAGAGGCAGTGTCTGTGGAGAAAAAAGATGCAGGGTGATCGAACAGTGTGAAAAAGACTTGTTAGCCCACATTAGTGTGCCTGATTTACTTCACAACAGGTCAAGAAAGGCCAAAGGCAGGGTTGTCATTAAATTGCAAAGTTGAAAATCCTGGTATTCAAAAGCATTCAGATTTCTGAAAGTTGTAAATTAGAAAGTTTGTGGTTCATGTTGAATTTGCCAGGAAGATATACAGAAGTACCAGCTTCTCTAAAACATGAAAGTTACATTATAAAATCATGCTGTAAATATAAAAAGAAAACCAGCTTTTTAAAGTACTTTCATGGTTGACTGTTTTACAATGAGACTGGGTGCAAAAGAAAGGCCAAACACTAACAAGGTCGTTGCACTTTCTTTATGAGCCCTGGGGACCCCTTAATTATGTGCCCGTGCTGCTTATTTTGAGATCTGTAGAGTGTATGTGTGCGCGTGTTTGTATAATATATAATTTTTATTTGTATTTTTTAAATACATACATATATACACATATGCATATATATGTAAAAATAAAGTTATCGCACCCGTTGCCCGGGAATGTAGATTTCTGGTCTTTTGCAGTGTATTATGATTTTTTTCCCCCCCTTATATCCTTTAGTGTTTCTTTTGGATAGAACATTTAACACTAATCTTCATACCATTGGTCATGAAATGATTACAGATTTATTTTAAGTTTATATTTACAGATGTAGAGACCAAAACCCCATTGTTCTATGTTCTAATTAATTACTTTTCCAAGTAGTATATGTTGCTTTCTAACTTTTTGTACTTGACAGACTGTCTTTAATACAGGCTAACTCTCATCATTATCTTTCATTAATATTTGCAAATTTTTTATTGCTGCTTGGAGTTACAAAAATAAAAAGTTGAGCTGCCTATTTCTGAATTTGTATTTCATCTTCTGTTTCATTCACTTTCTTGGCAGTGGCCCGAATCTCCATCATTTGGAGAGCACAGCTACCATGCAGAATATCCTTTTAAGCTGTTGCATTGATAGTCTTTAACTCATAGTAAACTCTTGTCATTGCTTTTTCTGATCTGGCTGGCTTTAGTAAAAATTGAAGTGCAGCCTTTTAGCTATATTATCATTGTGCATTGAAGCAGTAGGTAATAAAACAAATGGGTGGTCTTAGGGGTAAGGTACTTTTTTCTGTCTGCTACCAGAAGTTTCACTAATTGATTCTTACTCCTGCTGGCTGTCAAAAATCAGTTTTCCACAATTGGCATACAACTGTGTTAACTTTTAGATGGTGCTATGGACACGGAGTTTGTTGTCTTGATCTTTGTATGTCTCATTATGACTAGTAAATATATAAAATTAGATGTCTGAGAACAGCTGAGCATAATTAAGATAATTTTTCTTATCTGACTTCAGGAACTGTGCTCTCCTTGATCATTCAAATGATTTCATTGACATTAAGAGAATGACTCTTCTTGGTTAAAAGGAAGAGAAAGACAATAGGATGTTAGGCTAATCATGTTAAAACATTAACTAATTAAGCTAAACATTAGCTTTTGAGTTTTAGTTGTATTGGATTATGTATTAATATTTGGTGCTAGATTACTTTTGGTTTATCTTGATCCTCTTATGTTTGCAGTGAACATATGGTATAGTTCTACCTCCTGATAAACCGAAGTTTACTTCACAGTTGAATGTGTAAAAGCATATTTTCTGTATACAATCCTGCATTTCTTGATGACTTTACCAATGTGTGTCTCCTGGTTTTACCACCTTGTAAAATTCACTTATTAGAATTTTGGTACAGAATTACTGTATTTTGAAACGGCATGGTGTCCAAAGTAGCTTAGTGATCGTGAGACTCAAAGACTAGTCTCAAGGAATTTTACCAGGGTACATTTCCATCTTTTTGATTATTTTAACTGATGTTTACTTGCAGCAATTTGATGGAGGTGCATTCTAGGAAACTCTGCACTCGACTAGCTTTCTCTGTAGCTTTAGGTCATGTTAGTCAATGGAAACTTACTAGGGCATAAAATTATAGGAAAATGTGTAACAAATCAGAATACTGAATCAAAACACTCAAGCTTTACTACTATTCTCTTTCCATTGACATTCTCCATTCCCTAAAAAACATTGTCTGTGCTGTGTCTATGCACACTTTATTAGCTCTTCTATTTGATTTAATTATTCAGTTACTCAGTGTGTCTGGATTAAGTCATCTCCCCAGTCCGCGTACTACAAAGCGTTTGGTCATTGAGAAGAGACTAATGTCGTCTTGCTGGACTAATTTTTGTGGGTGTTTGTTTAGGAATCAAGACTCTGAAACAGTATGTCAAAATTTGTTTATAAAAAAAAGAGTTAATCCAAGAGTGGATTAATGTACTGATACTGCCAATCGCAGGCAGTGGAAGAGTAAGAATTACTTACCCATCTGAAGAACATGCTAAATTGTCATATATTCTTGTAGGCTTTTTAAAATATGTTAATACTTTTTGGAGCTTAATGTCTGGAAATTCTTTTTAAAAACACATAAAGTTTGCTGCCATGTAAACTCTTTTCATATAAACTTGCCAGATAATATATAAAAAGATTAAGATCTTTGTGAAATATATTATTTTGCTCAGTTCAGGAAGACTGTTCACAGAAGAAAAGGAGATATGGCCCAATGTTAGCTTTTGAAAAATTTTCCTTCCAGTTCATAGCTGCCTTTTTTTCCTGTTTATCTGTATGTCAAGATGTATAACTGCAGCAAAACATTATACCTTCCTGCAGGCTAAAGTGCAGTTTCTGGAGGTCATCCACTGTAAAACCTCAATGGTGTGAAGTAGTTATGATTTAGTCCACATAGTGGATGAGATGCAACCACTAAGGTTTAGCAAAATAGGAGACATAAAAGTAGTTGCAGGTGCTTTTTTACTGAAAAAAAAAGAAAGAAAAAAAGTGCGTGCCTTACTGTATTTCTCTTACATGATTATTTGTGTCTTTGGGCTATATTTGAGAAATGTGCCTCTAAAATTGTTATAAACTGGGAATGCAG